CTTCCAACACAAATCTGTTGGTTCTTTTGGCAGCCCATGGCACTTCCAATATTCTCCAACACCATAACTCAAATGTATCAATTCTTCTATGGTTTTCCTTATTCACTGTCGAGCTTTCGTATGCATATCAGGTTGTTGAAAATACCATGGCTTGAGTCAGGTTCATCTTAGTCCTCAAGCTGACATCTTTGCTGTTAAACATTTTTAAATGGTCTTGTGCAGAAGATTTGATATACGTAATTTGATTTATTGACTATGGCTTCCATGAGTGCTGATAGTTGATCCAAGCAAAATGAAGTTCTTGACAACTTTCATCTTTTCTCCGTTGATAAGAATGTTGTGAGATGCAATCCGTATCGAAGACTGTGGTCTTTGATCTTTGGTCTGGTCATTACAGTTCCTTTAATTTCTGCTTGTCAGGAAATGTTCTAATTTTACTGTTGTATTTGAGGGTCAGCTTTGCTGGGTATATGGTCCTTCATTGGCAGTTTTTTTTCTTTCAGAATTTTGCATATGTCCCTTAGTCTTCTTGTCAGCATTGTTTCTGCTGAGGACTCAGAACTTAGCTTTATGGGTTCGCCTTAGCAGGTAACTTTTTGTTTTTCCTGAGCTTCTCTCATGGTTCTTTCCTTGTCTTTGATTTTGGAAAGGTTGATGATATGTCTTTGTGATTTTTTTTTTTTTTTTTTTGAGTCTACCCTGTTTGGTCTTCTTTATTTAGGCTTCTAGTTTGCTTGTCATTTCATCTTTCATAATGCTAGGGAAGTTTTCTTCCAACAACTCTTAGAATTTTTTCTTTGTGCTTATCGCTTTCTGTTCTGGAATTCATATTTTACCTGTAAGTTGTTTCTCTTCATGGTGTCCCATATAACTCTGAGGATCTCTTTGTATTTTTTCCCTCTTTTTTTCTGATTGTTCTTTTAATATACTAGTATTGAGAGATTTATCTTCAAGCTCACAAATTTGGTTTTCCATTGATTCACATTTATTCCTTTGTCTTTAATGAATTGTCCATTTCTGAGATCTTTTTATTACTATTCTGGATTTCTTATTGCAGGTTTTGTATTGCTTCAAAATTTCCATGTTTTTTGTTTTTTTTTTATCTGTTTGTTCTTGCAGGTTTTTCCTGAATTCTTCTGAAGTTTTTATTGTGTTCTCCTTGCTTTTCTTAATATTCCTATTGATATTTTGAAGGTTCCTAATTATCATTCTTTTGAATTCTTTTTTCAGTTACTTCCATTAAGTTTTCTGACTCCGCATCTTGTTCATTGGTTTGAACACATTATCTCTTGTTTCTTCCCATGAGCTAATGTAGGCTTTCTGTAGGGCATTGTGGGATTGTCAAATTTGTAAAAACTAACAGTGCAGTTGTTGGACCCCTAGTGGAGAAATCTCTGTGGGGTTTCCTGCAATTCAAGGAACTCATGAGGTGGTTGTAGAATGGATGTGACATCAGAGTTCCTGGACCTAGATTGAATTCCTATTAGCCTTGGTGTTAATCTATGTTCAGGGCACTCAGTCTGGAAGTAGTTCATGGGTCCCTTTTATGGAGCAGTTTCAGTGTCTTTTAGGACCACAGGGAAACTGAGAGCAGGGTGACTGGTTAAATGTTGGTCTGGTGGCTCTGCAAGTTTTGTTTGATAATCAGTCTCCAAAACTATAGCCTCATCATTATTCTGTTTCATTTTTTTTATAAATAGAATTCAGTTATATTCTTATAATTCCACAAAACTATAGTTTAAAAAAATCAGCTTTGTTAAATGATGTTTAAAGATAATATCTTGGATGTAATGTTTTGGAACTTTTTCTTTCCACTTACGAAATATTCCTAAGATTCTTCAACATTTAGTGTGGGTATACGATTCTTCCACATTTCATTCATTGGGAATACTATAATGTGTCCCACGGTGTAAATATTTCAGGTTTCCCAATGTTAAAAGAGATAGGCAGGCATGCAGATTCTAAGAGTTTTCAATTATAGATGGTGTTGCTTTGAATATTCTGGTGTATATCACCTGGTATCCTTATGCAAATTTTCCTGCATATAGTCCTAGGATTGGAACTGTTGAGGACAAGGCATATGAATGCTTACCTTTACAATATGAAAACACTTGGAAGTGATTCATAAACTGAGGAGGACTGTGGAAATACTGGTTTCGGCTTTTACCAGTAGCGATTGCATAGTGTTCCAGAAGACTGACATAATGGGGTGGTCAGTTATTAGCTTTGTATCTTTAAGTTTGTCTCCATATCACAAAATTAAGCACCTTTTAAGCTGAAAGCATGACTATTCGTACCCTTTTTATGGCTGAGTGATGGTAGGAAGCATTTGTGTTTGCTCTTGGGTACAATTTCCAGTTTTTAAGTTATTCTCTGGTGTTGACAAGGACATCTTTAGTCTGCTTTAGCTACAGAATTATTGGACTCCCTGTCTGACCCTGTACATGCCTCTCAGGGAAGTTCTGGTTAGAGACACACCTCTCAGGGAAGTCCTGGCTACAGACATGCTCTCAGAGAAGTCCTGGGTAGAGAGCAGAAGTCTAGTGATGGTACACAATTTTTGGTACCTATTTGGAGGGATTTCAAGCACATGGTTTACAAATTGCAACATCTAGCCCACCTTAGACATTATTTATATTTGTTAGGTTGTTGATATTTTTTTTTCCTTTGAGTGTGAATCTTATTTTCCTATATCTTTGTATATCTAATTATTTTTAAAATTGTTTATAGGACAGTGTGGATAATATATTTAGAGACCTGTATGTAGGCTAAGAAGCAATTGTTTGAGAAGAACAATCTGATAATGAATGGTTTAAAATCAGGAAAGGTGTGCCTGACTTAGGTCATGATATTTTCAGTCAGCTCATATAAGTGGGAAAGCTGAACAACAAATAAGGAAGATCAGGAAAGAACTGATGCCTTTGAATTATGGTGTTGGAGAAGAATATAGAGTACACCATGACTGCCAGAAGAATGAACAAATCTTCTTGGAAAAAGTATGGCTGGAATCCTTCTTGGAAGTGATGATAGTGAGACTTTGTCTCTGCTACTTTGGACAATTGTTCTGGAAGGACCAATGCCTGGGAAAGGACACTATGCTAGGTGAAGTGGGAGGGTCACTGCCAAAAAGGAATGGATTGACACAGTGGCATACACAGTTGGTTCAAACAAAACAACTATTGTGAGATGGTGCAGACCAGGCTGTGTTTTGTTTTGTTGTACATATGGTCACTATGAGTTGGAACTGACTCAATAGCATGCAACAACACAACAATGCTTCTTATTTTCTAGTGACTCCTGAGTTCTCTTCCAGCAGGCAATCCATTACTGGTTGACTCCCCTGAATTTGTGCTGGATTGATTTTACACTTGGTTAGGATGAATCTGTAATGTATCCAAAGTGTTTCTTAAATTCCATAATTTGGTATTACTCAACTTAAAACTGTCTCTCTTGTGGATCTTCTGAATTATTTTAGATGTTGCTATGACATTCTAGAATAAGTCTTTTTCTAGGGTGTCATCCCTACTATTAAAGTTCAGAAAGTATGGGGGTCTCAGATTAGTGATACTGGAATTCTGTTCTCAACTTTGTAGCATCTTCTCTTTATTAGCTCCTAGTGCTCTTTCACTAGCTTGTACAGTTCCATTCTTTCTCTTACATTCATAGGGGAAGCCTGATATAGACTTAGGAGTCCTCCTTTCTGATACCCCACCTCTCAAATTTCAGGTGTTTCAACTGCCCCAAACTGTGATATCTTTGTCCTCTCCAGGGCAGGACTATTGTTTTCTCCTCAGATTCTAGCTCACTGTACTGCATTTGGGAAGTTGATCCCAGATCTAGAGCTAGGTGAATGTGAAGTTAACCTTGTGAGTTTTCCTTCCTTCTGGAACAAAAGGCTCATGTAGATTGTTGATCATGGTGTGAAAGCATATGCTAGAGAACTGGTTTTCAATCATATAGTTGGCTTGAAGGCTACTATGGCACTAGTAGTTTGATCAATGACTGCATGTGTTATTTGGTTCTCCATACTGAATTCTAGACTCTGCTGCCATTGCTCCCCAGGAGGTGAGGTTGCCCTCCATTTACCCTGGTGCTCCACATACTTCCTTGTTTGCATTCTTGTGTGCCCAGCTGCTGTTAGGTTTGGTGGAGCCATTCTTCCTTTGAGGATGACCTACACTTTGATATTGTTTTGATTCTCCAACTGTGATCTATCTGAAAACAAGAATCTAAAAAATGAAGTTCTACATTACCAAATCTTTTAATCTTCATTTATCCTCTGGATAAATATTTTCTCTATCTTTTAGTGTGTCAGCCAGCTGTTCAACTCCATCTCTCAGTTCAGGAAAACTCAAATTCCAATTAACCATCGTTGAATCTCCTTCATGTACCATAGATGCTTCCTGGGAAGACCTCTGGGATAGAAGAGGAAAATCTGGAGATCCATGTTTTTGGAATGACATAAAAGTAGCAAGGGTGCCATGTTAAGCAATGAAGTAGAATCCAGACAGAGCCAGTAAGATGTAATGGCACCTTTTCAAATGAATCAAGAATGTGAGGAAGATGTAAATTAGTCATGAAGTTAATACCACCACCACCACCACCCCCAATCCACAACAGATAAATAATTTTCTGGGAGTCAGCCCATAAAAAACCAAAACAAGGAAAACAATAGTTGTGTTTCTTTGTTGCCTGGATGCCTGTGTGCCAGGTCTATAAAAAATGACCAGCAGAAAGAGCCAGAAGATCTGCCCCCATCTCCTCTCTGAAACCAACTCCAGCCACACACTCACCATGTGCCACACCTGCTGCTCCTCGGGCTGCCAGTCAGACAGCTGCTCAAGAGCTGCTCACCCTTGTGCTCTATGAGTTCCATCTGCAGCCCAGCGTCCTCCTGTGTGACCCTGCTGTGCCAACCCATGTCCAGCCAGTCACCCTGTGGGGGCTGCCAGCTGCTCTTCTGGTGGCTCCCAGTGTCTGTGCTGCCCCTCTTTCTGCAGCTTGGCTTGCTGTGTGCCCAGCTCCTGCCAGGTAGCCAGCTGTGTGTCTGTGAGCTGCAAGCCAGCTCTGTGTGTGGTTCCCTCCTGCCAGTCTTCTTCCTGCTGCCAATCCTCCTGCTCCACCTTTGTCTGCACACCTGTCACCTGTGGTACCCCTGCCTGTTGCTGAAACATGTCTCCAAAGTACTTCCAGTGCAAATGGGCCCATCCCTGTGCTTCCTTACAACAAGTAACAGTGGTTTTCCAATTGGTATGCATTGGGACACTGAAAACATACTTTTTTGAGCCCCCGGGAGAATGTGGTAGAATCATCTTGATCTCTCTATGCAATTCTTCTCGGGGAAGTCCTGACTCCCAGCACCCTTCTCTGACTCTGTAGAAAACTGCACCCCACTTTTGGTCAATAAATTGTACTTTCCTCTTCCAGGTCTGTGTTTCTTGTCTTTTTATTTCCATGTGTGTTTTTTTGTTTTGTTTTTTTAATGAAAGAATTTTAAGGCAAATTCCTTCTACATCCATCTCTTTTTGCAAAGGTTCATGGGAATGTGTATAGTCCTTGGTTGAGGAAAAGGCCAGTCAATCTGCTCAATACTTCTCCAGACTTCATAGACTCAGGTGCTCTCATGCACTTACTCCTCCTCTGTTACCGTATTACGATACGATATTTCTCTCTCTCTACCTTTATCTATCTATCTATCTATCTATCTATCTATCTATCTATCATCTATCTATCTATCTATCTATCTATCTATCTATCTATCTATCTATCTATCTATTTTACATTCCTGTCTTCCAGTAAGCACTGGAACTGATGTCAAAATGCCTTAAGAGAATAGAGGATGGATTTTTCCATCTTGTATTAAGCTGTTCTCTTTCCTATGGAGAATTATGTCTAATGGGACAGCTTTTGACTTGACTGTACCTCAAGTTTATAGAATTAATGCTTGATTCATTTTTTGTTTATTAAACAACAATTGCACCATTATTATACTATAGTAAATCCTCATGAACCCATCACTTAACATGGAGCAAAAGCATTTTCAATGCCTGGGGAATTGACCTGAGAGAGTGGAGCTGAGCTGCAATGTGTCCAAGATGCTGATTAAGACAAGGAGACAAAATTAAAATAATAGTCAAATATTTAATTATTTATTGTGGTCATATAAGCAAGAGATATCTGACAAAGGAGTGCAGGCTCCCCTTTTCCCCTTTTCCCCATTTCCCCAGGAATGGCATTCAGCTGAGAGTCAAGGGGATCAATGAAGGTGTGTAGATACTGTCCCTGCAGAGAGTGCCCTGAACAAAAGTCTCCAGAATTTTTATAGACCCAGAGACAAGGGAGAAGAGTTGTTGTTGGTAAATGCCATAGAGTTCTGACCCATAGCTATCTTGCATAGTGTTTCTGAGGAGCAGCTGATGAGCTTGTACTGCTGACATTGCAGTTCAAATGACTTTTCAGTCCAGCTCATTAACCCACAATGCCACACCAGGACTCCAGGAGAAATGGGTAGGGAATGGAAACAATGGAAACTCACCGAGTTTGAAACAAAGCATCTTCAAGTTTCTCTCTGCTTCTCCCTGATCAGGAGATTTTAGCAGGGTCACTGAGGAACGATGCTACTGGAGTCCCTTATTAAACATGTCCCTGTATGGAGGCATCTGGCTAGGTTTGCAGATATATGAAAGAGTAGAACATGTGAGACCTGAGGGGGTGGGGGCTGAGTCTTTGACTGCAAGTCTCCATAGAGGCTGCATTTTATTGGCTGTGGAAATGGGCCTATTCCTGAAACCATCTTAGAACAAATCACAGTTTTCCTCTAGGTGATATGCATTGGGTGGTTGAAAAACATGCTTACCAAGTCCCAGAACTGAGTTGGTTCTGTGTCACATTAACCCTGTTCAGGGTTTCCAAGGAGCAGCTCATGAATTTGAACTGGCAACTGACTTGTGGTCCAGTGCTTATCCTACAGCACCACACCAGAACAGCCCCCCCAGTGTTTATGGAAGTCTCAGGAGTTAACAGGGAGTGCATTTGTTTTGTTTAACTGCAGAATTACTTGGCTCCCTCACTGAACTTGCACATGCCTCTCAAGGAATCCTGAGAATCCTGGTTTGAGAGCTAAGGGTCAGTAATTGTATGAATCTTTAGGCAGCTGTATGGTTGGATTTTGGGTATATGGTGAACTTAATCCAACACCTGAGCCATCACTGATTTTGTGTATATTGATTTTTTTTCTGTCTTTGACTTTGTCTTATTTTCCAATATTTTTCTATGCCTTGTTGTTGTTGTTGTTAAGTGCCATCGAGTCGGGTCCGACCCATAGCGACCTTGTACAGGGTTTCCGAGGGTGTAAATCTTTACGGGAGTAGAAATCCTCATCTTTCTCCCGTGGAGCGGCTGGTAGTTTCGAACCGCTGACCCTAAGGTTCGCAGCCCGATTCGTAACCACTACGCTACCAGATTTTTTATTACATTTTTAGTATTGTGAAAAATGCATTTTAGAGACTCCATTTTGTATTATTTTCTTGGGAGTCCTGAATTTTCTTGTAGCAGACAATTACTGGTTGATTCCCCTGAACTTGTGCAGACTTGGTTTTATACTTGGGTAAGATGGATCTGTGAAGTCTCTAAGGTGTTAAGCTTCATAACTTGGTGAGACTCAGCTTCAAATTGTCTTCTCTGAGGACGATCTTATGGATTTTAGGTGTTGCTAGGGATCTTGGTGTAGTGCTGTTGGATAAACATTGGACTGTTAACCACAAGCCCGGCAGTTCAAACCTTCCAGTCACTACTTTGAAACCCTATACAAGGTCTCTATGAGATGGCACCTGCCGGGGTCTGACCTTGACATAGTTGTGTTGTTCACGAGTGTTCACGAGGAGGGGAGATCCAGCGGCGATAGGGATAGCGAAAGAATACACAGACAG